ATCTGGATTCAGCAACACTGAAATTGTTGATGGCACCTTAGGGCTAATGATATTAGTGAGCATTATGGTAATAAATGAGTGATATTAGTTGTTCTGAATGGTATGGTATTGATTTGTGCCATTCATCTTCTTCTGATTTGCTGAAGAACTGAGCTTTTTATAACGCTAATGGAAATTAAGAGCTTTACAAACACAGCACATGAATACATGGGCATATCTTAGCAACCAAGCACTTAGGAAGCACTGAAATATAAATATACATGTATTCATTCCTTCACTATGTGAAGGCTCATACCTCCCTCCTTCCATCCCTCTGTGTGTGTGTGTGTGTGTGTGTGTGTGTGTATTTATATATGTTAGTCCTATAATTAAACTCTTTAGGCTGCTAACACAATTAAAGCAGTTTAAAAATGTCAACAATCAAATAACTAACATCTGCTGCAGTGCTAATAGTCCGGATCAAAACAATCTGTAAAAGTAGGTAATACAATTGGAAAATTATATGAGTAGGTTAAGTCTTTAAAAATAACATTAAAATATTGGCATGGCATGAAAGTACTATAGCATACAGATATTACATGATTCTCCTTAGGGCAAAGTCTGTCATAGACAAAGTGCCATCATGGAAAAAAACTTTGTTACTTAGAAGTTGCATGTTATTATTTATGTCTAATCCCAGTTAGCAGAGCTAAAGTCTATATCAGTTGATGTTGCTAAAATGATGTCTCTAATGTAATAGTCTTTGTTTTATTTTTGTAAGCTGCCCAGAGTCACCAAGAATGACTTGAGTGGCCATTTAAATATTCTCAAATAAAAAACAAACAAACAATCCACCAGAGTGACTTCAGCGACCATAATAATCCAAATGTTATAAATAAGGTTGTAAATAACTAAATTAAGCCTAACAGTAAAAGTTTTCCTGTCCAGTTTTCTCTGATTCTAGGGGGCGTTGCTAATCTCCATTTCTTGATCAAAGGAGTCAGCGTTGTCTGAAGACATTTTCTGTGGTCATGTGACCCCCCCCCCCAGTTTTATACCAAAGGAACTTGGAATGTTTCCCACCAAATGGTACCTATTAATCTACTCGCATTTGCATGCTTTCAAACTGCTAGGTAGGCAGGAGCTGGGGCAAGAATGGGAGATCATTCCACTGCGCCCTCCCTACAAAATAACTCTACTTTTGTTAAAATAAAGCCATAATTTTGCTCACTGGCAAGAGATTCTTTTTTCTCTGTCTATAGCTGCCATCATCTCTCCTGCTCATGTGTTCTACTGTATATACCTGTGACAGTGAACTTATGGCACATGTGCCACAGGTGGCACACAGAACCCTCTCTGCAGGCAAGCAAGCCATTTGTCAGGCACGCCTCCTCCAGCAACCAAGAAAGAAACCTCTCAACTCCCTTGTTTGTGGAATTAAAAGTACTTTTATTAGTTATGAAAAGACAGCAATGAAGTACTTTTAATTCCCCAAACAAGGGAGTTGAGAGGTTTCTTTCTTGGTTGCTGAAGGAGGCGTGCCTGACATTAAGCAAGGACTGAGGCAGAAAAGTGTGAAATCATACATATCAAACATTTTCTCAGCCCCCTCCCTCCAACAACCCCCACCCCGTTGCCCAATCTGCAACTCCCTTAGGTGTCATGTGGGTTGCATCTTCAAGAAGCATCATCAGGTTGGTATGCAGGACGGTTGGCCATGACCAGGTCCAAACATCAGCCATCAGCATGCGCAGAAGATGATGAAGACAAAACTCCCTTTTTAACTAAACCTCCTGTAGCAATTATTCCCATCCCAAATACCATGCCCTCCCCCCGTTTCCATGGCAGCCGAAAGCAAGCAAGCGAAACTGAGGCTGACACCGTTGCTCCAGCTCAACTGTTCCCTTGTGGCCCAGCAGGAGCCATTGGAGCTGCAAACAGATTCCGATAGCGAGGGACCCTATGTGGAAGATGCGGAGGACCCTGGACAGGGTTCCGACTCCGAGCAGGGACCAGAGAGGCTGGTTGGCCACTAGGAGGTGCCTGAGGCATGGAGCAGTGGTGAAAGCCAAAGGGAGTGTGCCCATGATGTCAGGCCTTGGAGCAGTGGGGAGGAGATAAGGGAGTCGGTCGCAGATGCCAGGCAAAGGCGGGCAGATAAATGCTGAGAGCAACTACGCAGATACAGAAGATAATTGGACCCAGGTGGTTGTAATTAGGCCCTTCCCAAGAGAGTATATAAGGAAAGACTTTGGGAGGAGGCTGTTTGCAGGATTCAACTGATATACCAACTCTGGAGAAGTTCTCGGGTGTATTTCTTATCTTGGAAGTCTGGATTACTGCCAAAGTCTTGTCAGTGTGTTAATTTACT